ATGTTCTTATCATTCTTCATGCTGTTTTTCTTCTGTATTATTAAATGAACTTGCATATTCACCATAGAAGCACATTGTATCATAGAATCATCTTTGTGATACTGGTTTAGGGATAAATATTGGCTAGGTTCTTGGGAGAACTCCTGCTTTTCTTCAAGTACTGTCACATGGGCCTGAAATTTATCGGAAATCAGCTCAGGCTCATTTTCATTTGTTTATCATGAAGGCTATCTCTCCATGAGGTCTGGTGAGTTTTGAACAAATGAACAAATGAAAAAGTGCAGCACAGGAACAGGCCCTTCGGCCCTCCAGGCCTGTGCCGGCCATCATGCCCTAACTAATCTAAAAACAAACCTGCCATTTTTTGATCCATATCTCTCTATTCCCTCCCTATTCATGTACCCATCTAGCTGCCTCTTAAATGTTTTCAATGTGCCCGCTTCCACCACCTCTTCTGGTAGTGCATTCCAGGCTGCTACCACTCTCTGCGTGAAAAACTTCCCTCGCACATCTCCCTTCAACTTTTCCCCTCTGACGTTGAACCTGTGCCCCCTTGTAATTGAAACTTCAATCCTGGGGAAAAGCCTCTGACTATCCATCCTATCTATACCTCTTATAATTTTGTAGACCTCTATCAGGTCTCCTCTCAGCTGCTGTCTTTCCAGTGAAAACAATCCTAGTCTTTTTAACCTTTCTTCATTGTCAATGCCCTGGAGACCGGGCCACATCCTGGTGTACTTTCTCTGTACTCTCTCCACATCATTCTGGTAGTGTGGTGACCAAAACTGCACATAATACTCCAAATGCGGCCTAACAAGGGTTTTATAGAGCTGCAACATGTTTTGCCAACTCTTATACTCCATGCTTTGGTTGATGAAGGCAAGCATGCCATATGCCTTCTTAGTCACTTTAGCCCCCTGTGTTGCCACTTTCAGGGAACTGTGGACCTGCACGTCCAGATCAGTCTGAATGTTAGTGTTCCTAAGGGTTCTGCTATTTACAATATAATTCACACCTAAATTTGATCCTCCAAAATGCATCATCTCACATTTGTCTGGATTAAACTCCATCTGCCATTTCTGTGCCCAAGTCGCCAATCTCTCTATATCCTGTTGTATACTTTCACAATCGTTGGCACCATCAGCTATTCCAACAATCTTCATGTCATCAGCAAACTTGCTTATCAGATCACCCACATTTTCCTCCAGATTATTTATACATACTACAGGCAACAAAGGACATAAGACTGACCCCTGTGGAACACCTCTAGTTACCGTTCTCCATTCTGAAAAATATCCTTCCACCACTACCCTCTGTCTTCTATGACCAAGCCAATTTTCTATCCATCTAGCCAGGCCACCCCGAATCACTTGTGATTTTAGTTTTTGTACCAACCTGCCATGTGGGACTTTATCAAATGCCTCACTGAAGTCCATATAAACTACATCCACAGCCCTTCCCTCATCAATTATCCTCATTACATCTTCAAAAAATTCAATCTGTTTGGTGAGACATGACCTTCCCCAGACAAAACAATGCTGCCTGTCACTAACTAGTCCATTTTCCTCCAAACGTGTATGTATCTTGTCCCTCAGTATCTTCTCCAAGAGCTTCCCCACCACAGATGTCAAGCTCACTGGCCTATAGTTTCCTTGATTATCCCTGCATCCTTTCTTAAACAAGGGAACAACATTTGTTAATCTCCAGTCCCCTGGAACTTCACCTGTGGTCAATGAGGATATGAAGATATCTGCTAATGCCCCAACTATTTCCTTCCTTGCCTCTCTGAATAACCTGGGGTTAATCCCACCTGGTCCTGGGGACTTGTCTATCTTAATGCAATTTAGGATTCCCAAAACTTCCTCTCTCAATATGTTGACATTCTCTAGAGTATTCCGACACTCATTCCTGACCTGAACGTTAGTCATGCCCTTCTCCTTGGCGAAAACTGATACAAAGTACTCATTCAGGATCTCCCCCACTTCCTGTGGCTCTACGTATAATTTCCCTCATTTTCACTTGGGAACCCTGCAATCAAGTAACAAGGGAAAATGTAGGGGAGCTAAATCAAGACATCTTGGGAAAGGGAAATAATGCCCACCTATCCCAAAAAGCTTCAAGAATAATTTTAGGACCTGCGCATCTTCTCCCATCTCCTTACCCCAACCCTTGTTATCACATGGGCAGCCATCACTAACAACCCATTGTCAGCTACTAATGGTCCCCATCAGCAGCTATTGATTCATTCAGGTCAACCTTTGGGTAGCACAGTGGCTCAGTGGTTAGCACTGCTGCCTCACAGTGCCAGGGACCCAGGTTCAATTCCACCCTTGGGTGACTGTCTGTGTGGAGTTTGCACATTCTCCCTGTGTCTGTGTATGTTTCCTCTGGGTGCTCTGGTTTCCTCCCACAGTCCAAAGATGTGCAGGTTAGGTGGACTGGCCATGCTAAATTGTCCATGGTGTTCAGGGAGGTGTGGGTTATAGGGGGATGGGTCTGGGTGGGATGCTCTGAGGTTCAGTGTAGACTTGTTGGGCCAAAGGGCCTGTTTCTACACTGTAGGGATTCTATGATCTATGATTTACCCATTCCTTTGTCTGCCTAACTGCTGGACTGTCTTCACCTCTTGTTTACTCTTTGCCCCTCCCCTTCTCCACCTTTTCCTCACTACTATCCATTCTGAAGAAGGGTTCCTGGACCCAAAACATTAACTCTGCTTTCTCTCCACAGATGCTGCCTGACCTGCTGAGTTTTTCCAGCAATTTCCATGTTTTTTTTTCCCGATTTCTAGCATCTGCAGTTCTTTGGTTTCTTTCTTTAAGGAGTGTGAACTAGACTGCAAAGCCACTTGCCATCCCTATTTATCCTGGCAGGTTTCGAGGGGGTGGAGGAGATGTGCGACAACGTCACAAAATGAGGTGCCAGCACAAGTCAAGTGATGCAACAAGTTGACATCCTCTACATGTGAAGTAATGTTTGTGGATATATACAAACATTACCTTATTGCCTAATCAATTAGCAAACTGTATAGATCACCTATTAGGTTATACATTTTTACAGCTTAAATTAATTTTCCAAAGCACAACATCTTATTGTGAGAAGACAGCACAATGAAAGAACTGTAAGTTAAAAACAAATCTGCAAGGCCACATCTGTCAAAGGAATGCAGGAAGAGATAGGAGAACAGCATTCCTTTAATTTGATAGAAGGTCATTGTAGGCCCATTATTTTACTCTGTGAGATTGTTGTTTGTAAGTTTTGTTTAATGCAACGATGTAATGAGCAATGCGGCAATTAAGGGCCGAGAAGGCTGTAGTTTTGGGCGAGCTGAACGTGTACACCTGGGACAGAAAAGTCAGCAGCTGTGGTATCTTCTGGTACCTCCTGGGCTTGGCAATCATTGCACAGATATTTACGAAGAGGAAGAGGAAGAGGAAGTGGCGGAGCATGCCTCCAGAGAGGTTGGGGGAGGGGGCGGTGGAGTGGGGGTGATTGTTTGTTTGGTGGCCATTGACGGCAGAATCTCACTAATGTTCTTTACCACAGCCAATTACATCATTAGGTTGTCCAACCTTCAAGGGTAGCAGCTGCAAGTGGCTGCTTTTGCCCTGATGGAGGGAAATCGGGGGAGATCACAGGGAAGAAATTCTGGGAAAATCCAGCCAGCAGGTGTGAATTTAGGCCACACTCCCAACACAGTGTGTACACCTGATTTAAAAATTACAACAAAGTACCTCACCTCTCCAGGGCAGGACAGATCTCTAATCTGTGAGGGAATCAAGAGTTACGAGGAAAAGACGGGAAAGCAGATTAGAAGGTTACAGGATCAGCCGTGATCTCACTGAATCGATGGGCTGAATGGCCTACATCTGCTCCTATAACTTTTGGTCTTATGGACAAACACAAAGGGCAATGCAGCTGGGTAAGTATGGTGACAGGCCCTCACCTGGACTTTGGGGACATATTGAGTAATTTTTAAAAATGTATCTAAAATCACCCCTCCCACCCCTCTCCATCAGGAGGGGTTATATTAAGATTACCTGCACCAATCACTGTGTCTAACTTCTGAAATGGGGAAATTACGTCTCATTATTTGAATTTTATGTCTTGCAATTTTTGTACAATTTCACATGTGATAAAGGCTTTGTGTGTGAATTAGAGTTAGATAAATCAATGAACATTCGAATCAGTAACCTAACCAGATATTTGTTTGGAGTTTTCCACAGATCTACTGCTTGCTCCTCCTGTAACTATAGCTGGGTCCATTGAGCAATTTATGTACTCTCTAACATTTTTTTGGACAGTGTGGGCGATTTGTTTAAGTGCACAGCCCCCTCAAATTCTGTTTGCATGGCTGCACAAACACAGTAAGTGAAAGAGCTGACCGGTGGGCGGGCTACAACTAATGGGTCATGTTGCAGGAACCATCTGTGGAGTATAGATTTGCAAACCGTATCTCATAGGCAAGCATGCCATTCTAATTTTAATATTTAAAAACAAAACACAAAACAATATTTTCTGAAGAAGGGTCCCGACCCGAAACGTCAGCTTTCCTGCTCCTCTGATGCTGCTTGGCCTGCTGTGTTCATCCAGCTCTACACCTTGTCATCTCAGATTCTCTAGCATCGGCAGTTCCTACTGTCTCTCTCCACAAAACAATATCTGTCCACCAGGAGCACGGCAACAACAATCAAATAACAAGGGAAAATCTTGGGGAACTAAATCATGATGTCTTGGGAAGGGGAAATAATGCCCACCTATGCCAAAAAAGCTTCAAGAGTACCAGTCAACACCCATGTGTCCCTTTCCAAGGACACCCAGGTACAGATGTTGTTCTCCACACTGACTAATGCTGTTAAGTCTGCTAAGATGAGGGGTGAAGATCACCAATGAGCACAGCCCAGCACTTACATTGGCAAGTGCTCCTCTACAGATCTTTAGACCCACAATATTGAATGACATCTCTTAATTCAGCTTTCGGAGTATGGATTTTGTATTACCTGCTGCCTGAGAAGCTGTTTCATTTCTGCAAGCAGTTGATTGAGTTGTGTCATTTGGGTGACTAAGAGTCTTCCGGTGTCACCTGCGACATAAAGAGATTTGGTTACCTTGGGTTGATGTAGGTCTGGATTATAAAGACAAGTTTAGATGATAGAAATCGGATTGAAATCTCCTCATTACATTCGATTTCCTCAAAGTATTTCCAGCATCATTTTATTTTTAAGAAATAAGCTGTCTGATATTCCCATGGCAACTTTCCACAGAAAGAAAGAGCTGAAGTTTCATTTTGGGAGCCCAGCATCAGAATTGATTCTGAGCCTTGAGTCCACACAATGTTTCCATCAGCATGTCATTCCATTGTGAAGAGCATGGCCAATTAATGACTAGAGAGCATGCTGGCCATGCTGGTAAGGACAGCAGACAGGGTCGTGGCCCTGGAAGGCTAGTGGGAAGCCCATGGACAAGCTACCAGTGCGAGTTGTTATCATGAAATAAACTATATTTTGATGAAGACCAGATCCCTTTTTGTTAGACCACTGAGTGGTTTCCTTCTACCATACTAGACCAAGCAAGGCCTGTAGGTCACTTTGAGAAAATAAAACAGGATGTTGGGAGCAAATCACCCAGATAGCTCACGCAACACTATGAGCAGTGGTGAGGATTTATCTTACCACAAAACGCTTTCATCCTTTTTTTGTGTTGGACATGCAATGATCAAAGCATTACAATTGGAGTACAAATCTGGGGAAAAGATTATATGTAGCATTTATAATTCACAGTACTGCCTTGGATAGAAGTTATTAGAGGATTTGTCTTTAAGAATGATATATAAACTAGCAAGAAGGTCAGCCTGATAGTGTGCAAAGTGGGATCCAAGACAGACTCAGTTTCAGGAAGCAAAGGGTTAGTGTTGATGTGTGGGTTTTTGACTGGAAAACTGTCTCCAGTGGCGTTCCACAGGGATCAATACCAGGCATTCTGCTAAATAGGATGTACATTAATGATTTAGATATAGGTCATACTTAAGAAGTTCACAGATCATATAAAATTGGATGACCATGAGGATGCTGCACACTACACTATATCAACTGACTGTTCAGATGGCCAGAAAAATAGCGAGTGGAATTTTATACAATCTGCAGAAGTGTAAGGTAATGCATTTGTGGAGGACAAGCAGAGCAAGGGAATACATAGTGAATAGTAGGGCTTTGAAAAATATAGGGTAATGGAGAAAACTTAGAGTACACAGGGCTCTAAAAATAGCAAGACGGACAGTTAAGGTGAAGAACACATACTTTCCTTAATTAGCTGAGGCTTGGAATGTATCAGCAGGGAGATTATGTTAGAACTGAAATTAAAAGTTAGACCACAGTTACAGCACAGTATACAGTTCTAATAACCACATTACAGAAAGGACATGACAGGACTCGGGAGGATTCAAAGCACATTTATGAAGATGGTTCCAGGACTGAAAACATTTGGAGTAAATATTGGATAGGCTAGAATTGTTTCTTTTAGAACAGAGAAGGCTGATGGGAAATTTAATTGAGGTGCATAAATAAAAGTCACCAGCATCTTACCAGACCATAGGGCTTTCTGAGAGAAAGTGAGAGAGAGAGACAGAGAGAGACAGCTGATGGTGGTTTAATATGAGGGTCACTACACCTCAGGTGAGGAGAGAGATTGATAAAGAGATCACCGATCTAGCCAATTGAGCTAATTGATCCCAGGCCTTAATAGAATGGAAACGAAAAGAACTGTGTTTGCTGTAAATCAGAAATTCTTGAATAGAATGGGTTTGAAGAACTTATTTCTGTTGCCAGTGGCTTTCAACTTATTGATATAAGGTTTAGAGGGGAATTGAGTCATTTTTTCACCAGAGTTTGGTGGGGTTTGGAACACACTAACTGAAAGGATGGTAGAGATATATCCCTTCAGCACATTCATAAAAACACTTGGATGTGCACTTGAGGTTCTGTAACCTACACAGTTACAGATCAAAAGCTGCAAGTAGGATTAGACTCATTAACTGTTTCTCAGCCAGCACAGAAACAATTGTCTATGTTTCTCTGTTCCGCTAGATGGTATGAAAGTCCTGCTGCTAGTAGATATCATGCTGTTACCAACTTACCAGTAATGCCAGCAGAATCACTTTGCTGCAACATGCAATCCTGAAGGGCTGCCACTTTAGAGATAGGTCCTCCAAGGACAAATTTCATCTCTTCAACAGCATCCTACAAGAAAAAAAGTAGAATCTACAGTTATATCATTTTCGAGTGATCGATGCATCTCTACAATCAGTTCATTACATGAAATAAGGGAATTTTAAGGAGTGTACAATAAAAGTCCTTGCAGGGTTACAGAGGATGAGCAATGGGTGCAGTGGGGCTAATTGCACTGACACAGACAGGATAAGCTGCATAGCCTCCTCCTGCACTGTATTACACAATGAATTCAATTGGACTTGTGATCAACATAGTGGATAAAAGAAGAACTTTTATGGTCCGAGAGTCAAAACAGCTCCAATAAAATGCATCTCTGAGCCAATTCTCACTTGCTTTATGATAATAAAAGTGTCTGTCTCAAAGACAAAGCAATGAAGGCAGGAGGGGAGTAATGGAAGTGTTGGTTAGGTGGGAGGATGTGGCTGATTTTTATCATTTTGAGTAGGTTCGAGAAAGTAAACAGGGAGGTGACAAAATGAAGGTAAATCTGCAGGCAATTTCCAGAGAACAGAATCTTGGCATAAAAACACAGGAATTAGAAGCAGCCGTTGGCCGTTCAGCCCCTCCAGTCTGCTCCACCATTAAATGGGATCATCTGATGTGCCCTTAACTCCTCTTTACTGCCTGTACCCCTTAACTCATGACTCCTTCTCTAATCAAAATTCTCTCTAAATGAGGCTTGAATACATTCAGTGATCAACTTCTGCTGTGAGTCTGCTCTGTCATTCAATAATACGTTGGCTGATTTGATAACCCTCAACTCCACTTCCCTACCTTATCTGCGTACCTTCAGTCCCTTTACAGATTAAACATCTATCTCAGCCTTGAATACACTTTCTGACCCAGCCTCCATAGCCCTCTGCAGTAAAGAATTCTACAGATTCACCATTCCCGGAGAGAAGAAATTCATCCTCATCTCCATCTTAATCCTGAGGTTTGGCCTTCTGGTCCCAGATTTTTCCACAAGGGGAAACAACTTCTCTGCATCTACCCTGTCAAGCCCACTAAGATTCTTGTATGTTTCAATAAGGTCGCCTCTCATTCTTCTAAATTTCAATGTGCACAGACCCACCCGAATCAACCTCTGCTTTTAAAACAATCATCCATACCGGGGACGCATCATCCTGCGGTCTTAAAAGAAATGGCTAGTGAGATAATTGACGCACTGGTTTAATTTTACAAAATTCCCCAGAATCAAGGAAGAGTCCTTTAAATTGGAAACTAGAAAATGTGATTACTCTACTCAAAGAGTAGGTGAGACAGAAAGTAGGAAACTACAGGTCATCCACCATAACCCATTATGAGGAAAGGATCGATAGATTAAGGCTGTGTCCACTGGAATTTAAATGAATAAAATCTGATTTGATTGAAACATATAGGATCCTGAGGGGTCCTGAAATGACACACTTAGAAATTGTGCCTTTGTGATTTGGAATATCTCTGTCAAACCTCCTCTCGACTTTCTCTTCTACAAGGAGACAGCACCCAAATTCTCCAACCCTTCTATGTAACTGAAGTTCTAGAATAACCATTCCTGTGAATCTGTTCTGCACCATCTCAAATGCCTTCAAAGCCGTTCTAAAACGTGGTGTCTTGGATTGGACACAATAGTCTATCCAGTTAGAGTGGAATCTGTGTTTTATATAAGTTTAATATCATTGTTTTCCTTTTGTACTCAGAGTCAGAGTCCTACAGCACAGAGACAGGCTCTTTGGCCCAAAATGGTTCATGCCAACTAAAATGTCCATCCATACTAACCCCATTTCCCTGCACTTGGCCCATATCCTTCTAAACCTTTCCTATCCATGTATTTGTCCAAATGCCTGATAAATGTTGTTAATGTACCTGCCTCAATCACTTCCGCTGGCAGCTCATTCCATATGTGTACCACCCTCTGTATAAAAAAATTGTCCCTCAGGTTCCCATGTATTCTTTCCCCTCTTACCTTAAACTGATGCACTCTAGTCCTCGATTCCCCAATCCTGGGAAAAAGACTGAGTGCTTTCACCCTATCCATGCCTCTCATGATCTTATACATTTCTATTAGATCACCCCTCAGTCTCCTGTGCCCTAAAGAAAAATAGTCCTAGCTTGTCCAACCTATCCCTATAACTCAGTCCCTTGAGTCCTGGCAACATCCTTGTAAATCTCCTATGCACTCTTTCCAGTTTAATAACATCCTTCCTGTAGCAAAGTGACCAAAACTGAACACAATACTCCAAGTGCGGCCTCAGTAACATCCTGTAGAACTGCAACATAACTTCCCAACTTCTATACTCAAAGCCCTGACTGATGAAGGCCAGTGCGCCAAAAGCCTCCTTCACTGCCCTGTCTACCTGGGACTTCACTTTCAGAGAACCGTGCACCTGCACTCCAAGGTCCCTCTGTTCCACTATACTCCTTAAGGCCTTACCATTCACCATGAAACTCCTACCCTGATTTGACTTTCCAAAATGTAACACTTCATACATAACTATATTAAATTCCATTTGCCATTTTTCAGCCTAATTCCCCAACTGATCAAGATCCTGCTGCAATTTCTGATAACCTTCCTTACTGTCCACGATACCCGCCTATTTTAGTGTCATCCGCAACGTTATTAATCATGCCTTGTACATTCTCATCCAAGTCATTGATATAGATAACAAACAGCAATGGGCCCAGCTCTGACCCCTGAGGTACACCACTAGTCACAGGCCTCCAGTTAGATACGCATCCTTCCAGCATTACCCTCTGCTTCCTACCATCAAGCCAATTGTGTATCCAATCTGGTAGCTCTCTCTGAATTCCACACGATCTAACCTTCCAGAGCAGCCTATCTGTGGAACCTTATCGAAGGCCTAAATCCATACAGACTACGATTACCGTCCTGCCCTCAACAATTATCCTGGTCACATCAAAGAACTGTAACAAATTTGTGAGGCATGATCTTCCATCCACAAAGCCATGCTGAATACTCCTAATCAAACCCTGTCTTTCCAAATGTATATCTTATCCCTCAGAATCTTCTCAAGTAACTTACCTACCACAGATGTTAAGCTTACTGGTCTATAATTCCCAGGTTTTTCTTTGCAGCCCTTCATGAGTAAGGGCACAACATTTGCTACCCTCCAGTCTTCTGGGACCTCAGCCATGGCTAACAATGATGCAAATATATCAGCCAGGACCCCCACAATTTCTTCTCTATGCCCTATTTGTTAAAGCCTAGCTGTATGCTTTATTAAATGCTCTCTTAACCTGTCCTACCACTTCCAGTGATTTATGGTGCTACACCCCATTTAGATTGGTACTTCTTATTTCATATTGTCTCACTGCATTCTTTCTAGACAAATTAATCACATGTTACTTCCCTGTACTATATGGCATCTGTCAGCTGTTCATCCATTTCACTATCTTGCTGTTGACCTTTTAAAGTTTTATACTATCCTCCACAATATTCCAAAATTTGTACCATCTACAAATTTTGAAATTATGCTCTACACGCCTGGGTCTATGATAATCAGCAAGAGCAGAGCTCTTTACACCAACTGCTGGGTATCTCCACTGTAAAGCTTCCTCCAATCCAACAACCATCCATCAAATGATACTCCCTGTTTCTTGATACACAACCTAGATTTGCAATCACGTAGCCTTTTGGAAATCTGTACAGATATCAACAGCAATATTGCTCAGTACATGCTCATTAGCAGCAGTGTGTACCATCTACAAGATGCACTGCAGAAATTCACTGAGGCTCCTTATACAACACCTTCCAAATTCACAATCACTTCCATCTAGAAGGACGAATGCACCAGATACCTGGAATACCATCAGTAACAAGTTCCCCTCCAAGCCATTTGCCATCCTGACTTGGAAGTATATTGCTGTTCCTTCACTGTCTTTTGGTCAAAATCCTGCACTTCCCTCCCTAGAGGCATTAAGGCTCTTCCTATAGTATATGGACTGCAGTGGTTCAAGAAGGCAGCTCACCACCACCTTTTCAAGGGCAACTAGGGATGGGAATAAATGTTAGCCCAGCCAGTGACATCCAAAACCCGTGGGTGAATTTAAAAACCCTCATTGAATTCTACTGCTCCGTCATCAAAGAACTCCAGCAAGTTACTTAAACATGATTTATCATTAACAAGTCAGTGCTGGCACATCTTATATCCAACATTTACACAAATGACTGGTGATTTTGTTTTGAAAACTTCCTGACTACCTAAGTTAAATTGACAGGCCCTTCTTCCAATGAGGGTGTAACAATTGCAATTTTCCAGTCTTCTGACACCATTCTTGAGTATAAGGGAGATTGGAAAATTATGGTCAGTGCCTCCGCAATTTCCACTCTCACTCCCCTCAATATCTTCAGATGCATTTCATCTGGTCTAGGTGCCTTATAAATGTTAACTACAGGCAGCATACCCGATAGCTCCTCCATACCAATTTAAAACTCTTCAAATGTCTGTTGTAGTTCATCTTTCACCAAGACCTGGGCAATATCTTGTTCCTTCATACTGAGAGACTGAAAACTTTTCTTTAGTACTTCAGCCACATCTTCTTATGCCAAGCATAAATCCCCTTTATAGTCCCTAACTGGCCCAAGTGATCCTTTTATCATTTATATGCTTGTAGAGGATTTTAGAATTCCATTTTGTGCTAGCTGCTAGTGTCTTCTCATTCTCTCTTTACTTTTACAAATCCCCCTGAAACTTTTATATTTACCCTGGTTTTCTGTTGTACTATCTATCTGACAAACTGTCATAAGCACACTTTATTCACTATAACTTCCATCATCCAGGAAGTTCTGGATTTGTTTGCCTGGTCAATCCCCTTGGAAAGAATGTATCTTAATTCCATCCAAACTATCTTTTTTTCACAGGTAGCTTGTTGCTACTGTGCTTTAATTTCTTTTATTCGTTCACAGATGTAAATGTCGCTGGCTAAGTCAGCATTTATTGTCCATTTCTAATTACCCAGAGGGCAATTAAGAGTCAACAATACTATTGTGGGTTTGGAGTCACAGGTAG